ATTGTGATATTCTTTCTGCACAGTAGAATTCTGTGTAACACGGAGGATTTATTAATTGTGTAACCTCATCTGGAGAAGTATTAAAGTACTAAATTAAGAATCAGGTGAAAAGAATCCCCACTGAGCTGCTGAGATAATGTCTAAGCATGTTAATACTGAATATCTTACTTTTCTCCCCAGTATCTCGAGAGGATCCTATTTCACATTTTCTTTACATGGAGGTGTAAAGAGTAGAGGAAGTAACAAAGAGTGCAGCATTACCAGCAGGATTCAATTGATCCAACTGGCATGATGAAGAGGCTTTTGTCAAGCCAATGCGGGAGAAATCTTTCTGAGCTATTAGAGAATAAAACCCAAATCAATTTGTGACCTGTAGTTTCAGGTCTCTAAGAGCAGTTCTCAAAAGGCTTGAGATTTGTCATAGTCTCTTTGTTATGTCTTTGCAACCACTGAAGTGTTTCAGAGTGAGACAGATCCTGTGTTAATGCACAAGTCACTGTGGCCATTGGCCAGTTGTCCATCCTTGGCCTGCTTTGGAGCAAAACTCATGCACATTCTGGTCACAGCCAAGTTACCTCTGTCCAGACGATGAGCAGTGACCCAGGTGCTGTATTCCATAGGCAGCAGTTAAATCCCTCTGAAGACAATGAGGCAGTTGTGCCTGTGTCTCAGCGTAATGAGAATCCCACTTAGGTACTGTTTTATCTCAAGTGTTTAAGGGGTTTAGTGAGTCTTTAAAAACAGGCAGCTTTAAATGGGTCTCATAGGGAAGACTCAATTGCATTCCCCAGTACAGACAGCGAATCTAAAGATCACTAGTGAAGCATTTGTAAATCCCCAACACAGGGGTTTAAATAGCGCTCAGGTGATGGAGAGGGCTTTGGACAGAGCTTGAGTTTCATCTCCAGGTAACTGCAGCATTGACTGTCTCCTGGGGTGAGGTCTGCCCCAAGGAGAGCAGCAGCATGAATGAGGCTGGGAGCCCCACTGCATGAGAGTGCAGTAGCATGCCCACCTCCCGCCTGCCTTATTTCTGCTTTCATGGGATGCTTTTGTTTTCTCTTCACACTTTTCTTTTTCTTCACTTAATTGTATGTATTTCAAGGAAAACAAACACTACATGAAGCTAATTACAAGGAGTTTATTGACTTGAACCTCATTCACAGCAGACTCCTAACCCCCGACATCTTTCAGATGAGCCAGGCGAGGTTGAGGACTCCTTCTCCCCGGTCTGAGACACTCTGACCCGACTTTATTTAATTGGTCTCTTGCAATAATTGAGTACTTGCCAAGGGCCAGTTTAAAGGTGCTACCATCTGATTTTTTTCCTCTCCAATAGAAGGATTAACCCCATTAGCAATGAACTCTATGCTTCACGTCTGTAACCTTACAAAGGAATATAATCCTGTCTCACTCCACCAGCTCATTCTTTTCCTCTGCAGAAAATCATTAAGAATCTCCTCAGCCCTCATCATCACAGTTTGGACCTGTTTTCTTTTTGCCTGGGTGTTCAGAAGCAGGCAGAGATCCAGACAGGCATGGGCTGGGATTGGAATTGCTGGGAACACTTGCTAATTCATTCTGGTTTCTCTTTTTAGAATGGCAGGGATATTATTTCATTGCTCCTGGCTTCAGGTTGTGCGTTGGCGCTCAGCTCTGAGGGGGACTGAGAGGCAGCAGAGTGGCTATTTTGTAGGGACACTGCGAGGTGTGGCTTTCAGTCATGGTCTGGGTTATTTCCTCTCCCTGTGGATTACTACCTCTTCCTCCTCAGCCTGTCTATGGGATGCAGAACAAAAGCCCATTTTTCCTTCAAATTCTCTCAGAAATGGGCTTTGCATGTTTTAAAAGAGTGGGGGCTTTAGTAACAAGGCTTTGCGTGAGCCCCAGTGAGGCCTGGGCATCCTCACCCCTTCCTAATGGAAAGAGACTGCCAATGCAGCTGTAAAAGAAGACATGACTGGCTGCCTGCAACATGAGGGGACTTTGCCAGGCTGGGCATGATGACAGGGTGGCAGTCATTGTGCTCCCATCAGTCCAACCTGGAAAACATCCCCATCTCCATACACCAGCCTGACCCTTCCTCCATCCCAGTCAGACACTGCCCTCCTTGGTAATTGCTCCAGAGCAGGCCTGGGGACACCCATGTGCGGCTGGGATCTGCTTGGGGAGCTGTTTCCCTGCAGCTTAAAAATGAATACTGATATTTCAGCTGACAAAGGGCCACAGGTTGGTTGTCCTTAGGCTGGGCTGCAGATAAGTGCTGCTCCGCTGCTGGTGGAGCTGGAGGGCTATATGGAAGGCACACAGGATAGACAGAGCCGAGGGGAAGCCTGGCTCTGGTTTTACTCAGTGCATTTTTAAGCATCTAAGTTGTTTTTAACAAGCTATAAGAAATAATGACTACTTAGGACACATGGAGTTATTCTAATTTACTAACAAAATTATATTCTTTGCAGATACGAGCAGAGACACGTAAGGATGTCACACTATACAGAAGGTAGGTGTCTCCAGCAGGGCAATCTTATATATTGTAATGCTTTCCTTATTGTTAATAACACCATCCTACATTTAAAAAGTGCTTTCCTTCCCAAAGGACCCCAGACTCTGTTATAACTTGTGGTCTAGTCCTGAGGGCAAATGCATTGATAAGGATTTTAATAGGAAATGTCAGATTCGAGCCAGCAGAGAGGATGATGACTTCTCCAAGGCTGAAACACAACCTCTGCTAGGGTGGGGGAACCAGCAGCTCAGTCCCAGCATTTTCACAGTGGAAGCTGGCTTGGAAAAAGGCTGATGGAAAGGAAAAGCCTGGTGCAAAAGGAGCATGGAGGACTTGCTGCTGGGCTCTTGGGATGGAGGAAGAGCCCCACACTTCGCTGGCTTATTGGATAAGTCGGCAGTTGGGCTGCTCTGAGCTTGTCTATGCTGTGGAAAGGAAGGTGTTGATAAATACTGACTGACAGGAGCCTGGTACAAAAGAGGATCACACTTATAACTGGACAGAGAGGGATGTTAGTTGAGAGGTTGCACGTGAGAAGTGACACATTAACATGCACTTGTTCCCTGTGGAACAAAGTGCTGGAATCCCAGGTTGTAGCCAACTTGGGAGGAGCAGAAGGGGCGTTTTTGGTAGAAGTGTGTAAGAGTTTGCTCTTGAATCCCAAGAATGTCCATTCAGTAAACTTACCCTAAAATTAGAGTAACCTGTCACTTTTGCTTGCCAGTGGAGCGTGTAGGGTTATGGAATGTGGTTGTAATGCCACCAGGATTTTATATAGATCTTGTTGCTTCCAGTACACCAAAACTGAGCAGCTGCTCTCAGTGTGTAAGTCTGCCAGGGTCAAACTGAAACCCTGCTTCTGTTAAAGTTGAGGATTTTTGCTATTGATTTCAGTGAGGCCACACTTTTCACTTCTGGCCCTTTCAGAAACACAGTAGAAGACCCAAACTGCTGCTGGGTGGAAAGAAGGAAAAATGTGTATTGATTTTGGCTTGAAAATTCCAACATTCACTTGTGAATTTAAAATAGAAAATCTATTTGCCATATGCTCAGTTCCAGAAGAACTATGTCTCTGGAGAACCTGCTTCCTTGGGTTGCTTTGGATGGAGAGGGACTGCTTACAGATTTCTTTGCTTTACCCTCTTCTGTTTTACTTCTCACATTTGCCATTAAACTAGCACTGACATTTCTGTGCCATCTGGCTTTTTTTGTTGGTGGATTTTTAAGGGGGTTGGAGAAAGAAAGGTTCAGGGTAAAACAAGAGTTTGTGTTGCTAGATCAAGAGTCAAGAGGGGGACCTTATGCTAAAACACTTTGCCAAGGGAGTCTGGGTTGTAAGGAGGGGATTTAGGGCTTTCAAAAAGGAGAAGAAATCTCTGCACATCTGAAAGGTGGGTTGGTTCTGGCACAGCTTAACATACTCTCCACAACGGCTGCTACAGCAGAGAGGCACAGTGGTAGACAGCCCAGAAATTGCTGACATGCAGGTTACTGCTTTATTCATCTCTCTGGAGTCCAAGAACTATTCAGACAAATGGGGCTGTCAGTTTTAAGGACTAGAAGGAAACGTGTACCTGCAGCCTCACGTGTTTTGAGGTAGAGGTTGGTATGTTTGAATATGTGAAGGGAGAGGATTGGACTGGCTTGGAGATTTCCCCCTGCTCCTGTTGGATTCATCAGTTCTCATTAGGGTCTGGACAAGCCTGGGAGAGGCTATTTCCAATTAGGAGGAGTTCTCAGCCTGAGAAACAATGAAGTAGAGTTTCTTGTGAGCACTTAATGCAAACAGTTTGTGTCATTCATAACCTTATCACACAGTTTCTTGCAGCATCTCACATTTCCCAGACATTGGGGTTTTTTCCCTAACTTAACACCGAACAGCGGAAGAATTCCATCTGCCCTTGGTACCCTTGTACAGCTGAGGAAAGAGGTCATGGCTGACAGCATCAGCTGCAGTGATTGCAGACACAGCCTCTGAGTGTAGTGTAAGCACGAATTTAGACTTTCTAATTGGGTTAGAAGAGCATGTTAAATGCCCAGAGGAAGAGCTGAGATTGGAGCCTGGCCAGTCTTGGCAGGGGGCAGAGCTGAGGGCTGACATCAGCCTGGCCAGATGAGCCCGTGCATGCGTTGACACCCAGATCACCCCCCCTTCACTTCTGGGGTGACAGGAGAAGAAGACATATGAGCCATGAACAAGATCATATATTGATCTTTCACAGCATGTAATTTATGGAAATGGCACTTAATGTATGTAGATAAAAGTGACATTTCTCATGGACTGTTTATCTCCAAAGTGTCTTGCAAAATGATCGCATTATGACTCTGCATAGCAAGAACGTCTGTTCTCTCAACCCTCCAGACCATATACTTGTTTGTTGTCAGCACAAGACATTTAGTTTCTAATTCCCAGGGTTAATATACAGTATCAGGTTATTACACTGCATTGTATCACACTTGCTGAATGACATTATGTGTGGCTTATATTTCATTTCAGCTCCATTTCTAATTGTTCTGTGGTGGAGTTACATGACCGAACAGGGCTGTGGATGTTATCTGCTGTGCTTGTAATGCACTGAGTGGCTTCTACCTCATCCTTTGCCTCCATCTGTTTCTCTGCTGCTCCCGTTGAGCCCACACAACTATCTCCAGGTAAATATTTGTTAATCAATGTTCTTTGTCTATCACAGGCCAAAATGAGATTTCTATTCAACTGATTCAAACTAATTAAATCACATAACAGCAATGAGGGCTTTTAATCTTTTTCCACGTGTTACTGTTTGGTTGCCATATAATGCTTCCTAAAGAACATTGATCACCTGCTTGGTAATCAATGTTCTTTGTCTGTCACAGGCCAAAATGAGATTTCTTATTCAACTGTTTCACAACTAATTAAAACCACATAACAGCAATGAGGGCTTTTAATCTTTTTCCACATGTTACTGTTTGGTTACCTTATAATGCTTCCTAAAGAGAAGTTAGTGGGCTAAGCCTTAACCTTAAGAAAAAGAGCTGTAGGCCTGTATGGAGCATGGCATTAACCAAGCTCTTTAGGATCTAAAGGACTACACAGAGATTTAGAGGACCTGAGCTAATGCCTAGCAGTACTACAGGCTTTTCTTCATGGCCTTGGTCAAGTCACTCAAACTATAAAGTCCTGCAGCAATTTGGGAATACTTTCAGAAGTGATGTCAACACTTCAGAGTTCACTGAAGTCTCACTGGAAATCAGTGGGATTCATTACCCTAAGGCCTAATCCTTCATAGACTGAGACATCTGAATTTCATCCAGATTTCTGTCTTGATCTCTGGATGTACTGATCTCACTATCCCAAGTTACATGGGGGGCTTGTAGACCAAGGCTGAGAGCAGTCCTGCATTTCACAAATGTGCTGGCAGTGGGCAGGGAAGGGTGGCTGCAAGATGCTCATCCAGGGTCTTCTGCCCACCATTGGGTGGAATGAGACAAGACAAATCTTCCCTGGCAGCACTGAAAAGACAAACCCTCCCCTGCAGTTCTGGTGCATGAAATGCAGTGAGTGAAATGAAGCAAATTCATTTCTCCTATGAAAATTAAACCTAAAATGCATAACAAAGCACAATAAATAGGGAAAAAAAGAAGTGTAAGGGTGAAGTTCTGCAAGCTCAGCACTGCGGGATGGAGGATGAAGGGGGTGTCTGCACTCAGATTAGGCAGTTCTTGGTCTTTAGCCTTTTGAGAGTTCTTTCAAGCTTCACAGTCTTTACAAAACCAGTTATTTTCCTCTTATCTGAGTCCCCTTTAATTCATGTTGTTTCCAGTCCTCCATGGTAGGGAGAGTGTTTGCACTGGATTGGGCAGGAGCAGGGTGATTGCTGAAAAGGCTCCTGGAAGTATTAACAATAATAATGTGCACTTTATAACCATGGTTAGTATTAAAAGACATTTGACAAACACTGGACTTGGAATGAAAGGCTTTTAAAGCCCCAGCCAAGCTATTTGCAATTAGAACACAGTAATGTACATTCATTTTGTATGTAAGTTGAGCTCACAAAAATCTCCTTTTTTGTCCATTAACAAAACCACAGTATCCCCATGAATAAGTCCCCTTAATCTTCACAGTGCATAGTCTGTGATCTTATCCTTAGAAAAGCTGTGCAATGTCATGCAGCTCCAAGAGAAACAAAAGCAAAGTCCAAAGCAAGATGAACTCTCTCCCAGAATAACTGGCACTGATATGGGGGCACACCAGTATTTGAGGGTTGTTGCAGCTTGAATGAAGTGTATGGTGTATTTAGAGCCCAGAAAAGTGCAGAGAGCACAAATTTCTCCTGCTCCTGTATAGAAATGAAGTCAGAAATAAAGGAGTTGAGCATGAGCACAGCAGTGACTCCATTTCCTCTCCCTGAGTGTCCATGTAGGCTCAAAACCAGAGAGCAAGAGGCAGAGTGCGCAGGGAATAAATGTATCTGACAAGGTTTCCTGCCTCCCTGCCTTTGTTTCCCTATCCTTATTGTAATAATATTTAAGATTTACCATATTTTCTGCTCTCAGAAGTGAATATGAAAGATGCAGGAGTCTGACTCTACTCCCCACACAGATCATGACTGAGGACTGTGAGTAGACAGTCTCCTTGGGCTCCCTCCCACCAGCGCAAGGCATGTAAGCAATGAGACCAAAGGAGTCCTCCTGGGTTGTGGTGACCAAGCCCAGCTAATGCAAGCAGCCATGTCACATAAACCTGTCCATAAAGGCATCTGACAGCCTGCCCTCCTTACTGCTGTGAAGAGACTCTCCAAAAATCCACTCCTCTAATGGGTAAAAACTTTCTAATTCCCAGACTAAGTCTAAAGTCATTTAACTCCTTTGACTCTTCCTACAGAAGGTTCACTATGCACCCAGTCATGATACAGGGAACAGTTATACTGTGCCTAGCCTTTCCCTTTTGACATTTGCAGTGTTTTATTTCTTCTCTTGAAAAACAGGCTGTCTGTACTCCCTGGTCATGCAGTAGCAGTTTTGCAGGACTGGAAGCAAATGTTCCAGTCTGAATGACTTTCCTGAATGAAGCATTATTTCATTTTCTGGTGGCTGGGCTTCTCTGAAGGCTTAGAGCCAGTAAAAATGAAGCATCAGGCAATAGAAATCAGACAAGCTTTCAGCTGTTTAAATAGAGTTCATCCTTCTCTTTTGGATAAGCTGTGTTGACTCCTTTTTATAAACTAATGTGCCTGGGTCTAACCAAGTGGAGTTGCCCAGATAGCATTTAGTCAGTGGTGCTGTATCCCCAACCTCCGGCTGACCTCTGAGTGTGTGCTTGCAGGGATTGTTACTGCTGTCATAAGTAGCCAAGGACAGATTGCAAAGAAGGCAGAGAAGAACCTGACTCATTCCCATCCTTTAGTAAAACATCTGTCTTGCTGTTGTCAGAGGAAATCAAGTATTCACTTTTGCACATTAAGAAATTTAAAGGAAAAGGCTTTGTGGGGAGGGCTGTCAGCTCCCTGAGGAAGTTATTCACTTGGACTTAAAGGATTTATGGGAAGAAGTGTTTTAGCTGCCCCCAGAGCATCATACTAGCCCTGGTGGTGTTCCAGTTATTTTATCTGACTGTCTTTACAGGTATTTCGGGTAATTTACCTGCACAGCCAGCCTCAGGATTGCTCTTTTGAACACAATTGCTGTTATTTTTGAAAGCACCACTCTCAAAAGCAATATTTCATCATTACTGTAAGACATAGTCCGTGCAATTATCAGGGAGAGTGTCTGTAGGAATCTTAGGGGAAGCATGGTGACGCCTGAAACAAGCCCTAAACCCTAAACCTCGTGTCATTAGTGCCTGGCTGGGATATAACAGTCTTACCCTGGTAATGAGAATTTGGCCTTTCCTGTCATGTGTGTGGGTCCTGGATTAGCTCAGATGAGGCTGGCTTCTTAAAAGCACATTGCTTTTGGAGGAAGAGCACTGCTTTATTTCCAGCCCAACTCCAGGGAAAGAGGACAAAATGACAAGGAATTTCCCCTGCCTTAGAGCTAGCTCTTCCCCCTAGCCCTTTTCCAACCAGCCACCACCTCTAAGACTCTGCAGGAGGTTTTCCAGACTCACTGGGAATTCAGGTTTGTGTCTCAGATGATCACAACTAAAGGGCAGCAGCTTCAGAGCCATCATAAAGGAAAAAATAGGGAATCTTCAGTCATCTGTGTGTGATTGCATCAAATGTCAAATTTGGTCTGCAGATCCCTGTCACAGTGAAGTTATCAAAGCTCATAACAATTCACAGGTAAAAGAGGTTGGGGTGATCTGAATTACAAAGATATTCCTTCCTTTAGTAGAGTGTAAGTTAGAAAAGAATATATTCATTTGGGTTTAGTCACCCATCCCCCTTGTCCTCTGGAAATAGTGATGAGAGAAGAAAACTGAAATGGGGAGAGGCAATATCTAAAAAAGCAATCAGAAAATGAGAAAAATTCCATCAGAATGGAAATGTCTGACTTCAGGTGGGAAATAAAATAACATTTAACATTGGCAAATCACCTTGACAAATTTCAGCCTTCCGCAGGCACTGCCTGTGGAAGGAGCTTGCAGGAAATCCTTAGGTACATGCACCCGGAGATGTAAAATCAGTTAAGGGCTGTTACCCTTATCTGTTTGCTACCCAGAAGTGTTAGCTGGAAAAGGGCCCCATCTGCTTAGACTCAGAGTTGACCTTCCCTAAAGAAAAGGCTTTTAGATACGGAGATTTTCTTTCCAGATTTCGTCCCATTTAATTTTACAGAATGACTTTACCAAATGGGAAAGTGCAAGTGATGGTTTGACCAAATGAGAAATCCAGGTAGTGACGGCTGCTCCGGTGTCTCGTATTGTAGAGTGCAGGCACACACAGAGCAGGGGAAGGAAGGTTATCGGTGTTAGCAAGACATCACTGATGAGTACAGCAATCAAGGCAAAGCCTGAGTGACATTTGTAGCAGCTCCTGTACTTAAACGAGCACAGATGTAGATACAGGGGAAGCACATAAGGAAAGGTAGCTCCAGCTCAAATCTCAGCCTTGCAGACAGGATGACTGACTGTGCCCAGTCATCTTCAGGCAGGTGGCTTACTAATTGTATGCCAAGCTGTTAAAGTTAAAGCCATGCTAAGCTACTAAGAGCAGGATGAAATGTAAAGCTTTCCCTGACATTTATTCAGAGGAGTCTATTGTTTTCCAGGGCTGCTTGGTTCATGTATCTCATTTTTGACTGAGCTGTGCTTCACTTTGTCACCCACTGAGTTAACAACTTGGGACAATTACAGTAATTATTCTGCTACAGTAGGGATGCCATTGCCCAAATATGTTCAGGAGGAATGGCTTTACTTAAATGAGCAAGAATACCGTGAACCTGCAAAACCACTTGTGGATTGAATCATTTAATTTCTGATGCTGTTAATTCACATTATTGAAATACTGATAGCCCTGTTCATTAGTGGAGCAGTGGAAAAGTAGAAAACCATTGATAATGTGCTAATGAAACAAGCTTTGCAGTCACTTTGGGAGACCTCAGTTTCCTGATACGTGAATGTATGTCTTCTCTGCAGTCTGGAAATCACCGAGGGCCAAGAATCAAATGCAAAGGCAGCCCTAAGACTGGGTCTAGCATGGAGTCAAGAGTAGGATGCTGTGTTCCTTGTATGAGCAGAGGAGCCTGTGCAGCCACACTTTGCCTGGGGCAGGCTTCCATCCCAACACCAAGGTTTGTGTCCTGTGGCTGCCCGTCTGGCTCTGTACACACCCGACTCCTTCTCTGCCCAGCTCCTTCTCTATTTCTTACATCTGCCAAAGACCTTATAAGTCATTCCTTCCAGGGAGGCATTTGGGAAGTGTTTCTCTTAATAACTGAATTCTTACATGTGCCACTTCTTGTTTTGTAGCACTCTTAACAGCCTTATCACAGCACTTTTCCATCTCTGAGCACAGTCTGTATGACTCCTCAATTGATGGATGTTTATTCTGGAGGTCATGATCTTTCAGCCAGGTTTTTACACACAGCCTTTTTCTTCCAATCCACCTCTGAATTTTAACAAGAAGCTGTGGCATGAAAAGAAAAGAACGATGCTGAATACTCTGCTTAATAAATGGAAACTCAGCAAGGGCACCAGAGGACATGACTACTTCATAACTTCCAAATTATGCTGGATGTGAAGCAGGGAGATTATTCTGAGTAGGTCCACTTGATTTCTTGCCAGGGTCAGGGCTGTGGCATTCTTGATGAGAAAGCAGTTGCTTGAGTTGCTTCATCAACTATTTACTTCAGGTTTAATGACACCTCAGTGTTATGTTTCCTCTGTTCTTGAGCTGTTTGCTGTTTGTCACTCCATTTGCAGTTGCAGGGGTCACCCATGTATTTCTATGAAAGGCAACATATATTTAGACTTCTGTCAAGGCTGCATCATGTTTTGCCTCTTCATCTTAGCATTATTTTGTAGTTTTACAGTAATTATTTCTCACCCTCAGTGGTTACTGCTCTCTGGTTCCTTATAAACTGGATCCCCTCTGGTAATAAGGAGCCTCTACTTTATAAGTTTCTGCTTGTTTTATGCCTCCATTTCTCTCCTCTGTGAAATATTAACCAGTTATACAGTGGGTCCCACCTCCATCCTCACGCTAGGTTTTAGGTCCTATCTGGCACTGACTGTTTCCATGACAGTGTTTTCTGTGAAGTTAGTCATGTTGTAATTTGATTTTTTTCCTTCCTTAAGAAACCCTTTTTTCAAAAGGAAGCACTAAAATGTGAATTTCTCGATCTCATGTGGCTGCTGGATTTTTCCCAGTTGTGGAAGACGCAGAAAAGATGCAAGAGAGAGGCACTGCAGGCATTGGGTGTTGTGGATGAGGAACAGGCTGTGGAAGGGTTAAAGCAGCACAATGACAAAGCATTGGAATGTCTGCAGTGCATATCTTACCATCCAGGAGTTCTCCCTGCCCTTAATCACCCACTGCCTGATACTGGCTGAAAGTGCCTTATGCTTCCTCCTAAAGTCCTTAGATGGACTGAACAGTCCTGGGGCAGGAGGAGCCATCCCTATGGACGGGAGCAGCCTGATACAAAAAGCCTCAGAGACAAATCCCACAGTGCTCCAGGCAGATCCTGTCACACCTCATCATCCCCCTTGACAGGAGTCAGTCCTAATTTCTGCCTAATTTTTCCATGCATGGGATTCATTATTTCTTGACCTATGCCCAGGGGACAAGCAGAGCAGAGCAGTCCCTTCCTCTCCTTTCCAGTTTTTCCTGAGGGGTCCTTCAAGGACAAACGCTGTATCAGCTGCTGTTGACTTTACCTATGTGCCCTGATAACAAAGCAATGACATCTTGTCTTAGGTTGCAGTTTTCCTTTGTGACAGCAAACACGTGTTTGGTTTTCCTAAATAAAGATTTTTTTCATTTCTTTGTCAGGGATGGAATCACTTCCACAGAGTATTTACAATGCAAAGCCCAGGCAGAGTGTTGTAAAAGATGCTTTCCTTCAGTCCTTGGTGAGGGCTGAAGGGCAAGATTGAGCAGGGGTTGCCCTTCCCTGACCCAGCGCTATCCCCTGTGGTGCTCTGTGCACGACAAGGCAAGCCAGGCATTAGAAGGTACGGCCTTAGAATATGTATTTGCTCTCCACAAAATGGACAAAATGTAAATGGGGCAAAAAGTGGGGCTGGATGCAGACCAGCGCTTTTGTTGCTCAACAATTCAGGGCTTTCAAATTGGTTTCTTTCTGCTTGGAATGAAAATGAGAGAACAGGAGTTCAGGAGAAAAAGAAACCATTCCAGACCCTCTCCACCTCTGGCCGTAGCTGCCAAACCAGCAGCCAGCTGATGGATGTCTGAATCTGTCCTGTGAACTACATCCCCTGCAGTTCATCCAGCAGTGTGTCCTCACTGTGGAGCTTCCCAACTCCTCTGTCTTCTTTCACATCCTCACCACAGCTGGACCCAGCTCTCCTAAGTGTTCCTGCTCTCATTGCCCAGATGGGGAGACTGAGGCACGTGGAACTTGACCAAGAGAGAATCTTCATCCAGATCCCTGCATTCATCTTCCTAGTCTTCTCACTGTGTTTTGTGAAACCCATGGCCAGGTCACTCAAACGCAAGGTGTGCCCCTTGTAAATTCAAGCTCCCCAGATGAAGAACTGGTCACTGGTCACTGGTCACATTGTTTTTCCTTTGTGAAATGTTGGTTGTTGCGGTTTCTTTCCCATTTACAAAACAATTTATTAAAGCCAAAATTGTTGATAGGAGCTGATTTGACAAATTTCTCAGTTCAAAACCATTTCCTTCTGGGGGAAGCTTTGAAACTGTTGAAACAAGCATGTCTGTGTTTTTTAAACAAAAGATGTTTTGATTTAGGGTTCAAAATAAGTTGAAAATATGTAGGACAAAGGAAAGAGTCCATTGGAGCTTGAAAGGAGAAATGACAAAAACATCTAAATCAAAATGAATCCTATTTTCATATCACTTACAGTGGTTTTAGAGCCCCAAATTATTTATTTAACATTTCTTTTCATTCTCAGGCCGTGACAGATCTCTAGTTTTGGTACTTGTCTTGATTGGAAGGGGATATTTTTCCAGGGGATGCAGTTTGGAAAGCACCTCAGGTCACTAAAGCTGTTTCTTCCCCTCTGGCATTCAGAGCTGCTCAGTTTGCAGGCTCAGCTATTCACATCTGAAATGGGAGAAATCCCTCGTGGATGTGAAGGCAAAAGCTTCCGTGGGTGAGAGGACATGGCATAAGCACCCATCAGCAGTTCTCCCTCCTGCCCCATGGCTGTACTTTATAAGAGTATCTCAACTGTAGGCTCAGCCCATGAGACTTTCTTTGCCCATATGTACAAAACAACCCAGTTTTGCAGCAGTTTGGACCATGCTGCTGTCACATCTGCAGAACACCAGCTTAACCCATGTGAGCCACTGGCTCCTGTGTGTCCATGGAGAGGAGCGAGGTTGGGATGCCTTGGAGATGACATTTGAGTCTGGGAAGTGCAGTGAAAAGCCACTCTTGATTCTGCTTTTCAGGGAACAGAAGACAAACGGGCATTGGTCCCAAGAACAGGCGGTAACGAAATCAAGCTGGACCATCTGTGGATTGCTCAGTGCCTGCCATCCCACCAACTACAGGAGGATACTGGGAGGTGAGCTGACTACATGCAGGAAAGGGTGATTTGGAAGTAGTTACGGTCCAGAAATCCTGGGACTCATGTCTGTGCTACAGGAGAGGAGGCATTTGTCTTTGATCCTTGAAGAAGTGGGGCATCCTTCACATTTGCCTTGTTTCCCAGTGAGCTCTCCTCAAAGAGACCCCCAAATTACCTGCATCACTCAGGCTTTCTCTGGATGGGGGTCTGTCTACTTCTTCACTTATCTTACCTCATTCCCAAATTCCTGACGGTCCATAAGAAGGGGAGAGGAGGATGGTGATGCTGGGCAGGTGGATAGGGAAGCAAAAAGGTGTATTCAGTCTCATAGTTTAGGAACCAATAGTTAATTAAGAAACTGTGAACAGATCTTGCTTCTAAATGTTACTTTAAATGTTGCTTTAGTTGAATTCAATGAGGACAGTGTATTGACCTTCTCAAGGTTAATGGCTCAATGACTTACTAAGAAAAAGCATATGCAAGGCCAGATTGATTCTTGTGTTAATTATTTCTCTGGACAATATAAAATGTATTTTGATACGTTTTCCACGATACCTGGAAAGTCATTTCTGCTCACCAGGTTATAGATGTTCCAGGCAATGACAGAGGTGCTGGGAGTGTCCTGATTGCTTCAACTACGTTCCTTATACATGAGCATTTCTTCCAGTGCAAAAACCCACTAAGAGAAATACATTTCCCATGAAATTAGATGAGATCTGTTTGCTTCTGCCTTACCTCCAGTGAAATATCTTGGCAGTTGAGCAAAAACTCAGCGCAATCCAATTTATGGAATGAATTGTGACAACTCACATGAGTCTGAGTTTTACCTCCCCTGAAATCCTTGGCAAAACACCTGCAGCTCCTTGTTAGCATATGCAGATAAATCTCTGGATATAATCACTGATGGAGAGGCAGCAGTAGGCGAGGGTGTGCCCTTTAGGGATGGCTTCTTATCCCAGGGCCTTGTCAATACTTGTATCAATGACCTGTTGGGAAATCTGTAATCATTACTAATGAATGCAGATGACTCAGATTTGGAGAGTGGTAAATAACCACGACAACAAGGCCATAGACACGAGTGAGCTCGATCACTCAACAGATCAGATGCAATCAAAGGCTGTCTTTTTTAATGCAGCTAAATATATAGGCATGGGGACCTAGATGAACATATGCATATACTCATGGGAAATCAGTGTGGTTTGTAAATGCTCCATATGGGTAAATTATGCATTTTGCAAGCATAAATACTTTATTGCTGCCAGACTGGTAGGTTAGTATAGCTTGAAGGAGAATTACCCTGATGTGTTACCAACATAATAACGTGCCTGTGCAGTGCTCTCTTACACCATCGTCTGCTGCAGCCCAGGGAGGCTTGAGCATTCTGTGAGTACAGGCTACATGAAGTTGTTACCATTACTTCAAGATAGATGGGCACTAGGGTTCCAGTTTTCCATGTTTTCCCTGTAGGAATTCGGCACTTAAGACAGTATAGGATGAGTGGTAACTGAGGATTAAATCTCCATGCGTGTGCAGGGACCTTATCAGCTCCATCCAGTGCAACTTTCCTTTTCTGATAATCTCTTTGCTCACTACAAAAAGAAGCCCTTCACTTCCACCAGAACCAGGGAGCTGCTGTTTGTAATTACAGAGTCCCTTGCAGATGCCTTTGCTATCTGTGGCTCTTCCCCAGGGCTGTTACTCCCCTCTGTAATGGAAGTAGGTCTCTGGAGCAGTTGCTCTCAGTGCTGACAGCTTTCTGATTAATGGCAGTGACAGCTCAGCCTTATGTGTGCACTTTGGAAGGCTGCGCAGGGCTTTCCTCTCCCTCCTCTTAGCTCAGCCTTTACCTCTGTGGAAACCTATCCATCACTGCAAGCACCTGGCAGGTAAATTCAAACCACGCAAACTCCTGCCATCCAAGCTAAAAAAAATGAGCACCATCAGCACAGCAGAAACAGGATTGTTTGATATGAGGATAAAACACAGCGAGGTTTGTAGGGAGAGGCAGCATCATTTATTAGACCACGCACATACTTGCAGGGGGGGAAGTGGGAGAAGCTGTTGGACACACAGGTTTCTTTAGTCTAAAATCAAAGCAACCATCTCCCAAGCTGAACAGAGGTTGAGTCTAACTGCGCTGAGGTTACATGATGTTCATCTCTTTGTCAGTATGGGAGAAAAGAGGCTTGATGCCTGGATCTGAGAAGGGCAGGAATAAAGTCACAAATCTTCTTTGAACAGAGGCAAGCAGCTACTTTTCACCACCCTGCTGATGGATTAACCAGGGATGGAAAAATTTACAATCTATCATAACACCAGCAATGCTGCTTGTCCTTGAGTTTTAGCAGCCGGCAGAGTAGTGAATTGTAATTGGAAGCTTTAAATGCAGAAAATACCTAGCAAGGTCTTGTTGTGCTCTTTGATTCTGGGAAAATAGCATGGAAATCATAGTTGAGAGATCCTATGATGTGACAGAGGATGGGGGCTGCGTGTACAGCGGGACTCCCAGCCGGCCTCTGCTGCTAGCTTGACTGCTGAGCCAAAAGGATCAACAGGCAGAGACTTGGGATTCATACTCCCTCTTAACACAATAAAAAAGTTAAACTTCACAAGCAGAATCCCAGTTTTACCAAGTGGGAACATGGAACAGGGGGAGAGAGCAGGAATATCAGTGGCAGAGAGCCAGGCAGACGAGACTGAGATCCATGAGCCTGAACTCAGCCTGTGCCTGCATCCTCAGCTCTCCCTGCCTGCATTGAAGGCTGAACACCGGGACTGTTTCAGAGCTTCGTGTGTTTAGCAGCTGACATTCAGTGAGCTTGTATCAAGCCACAGCAAACCCAAGGGCTGGGTTTGCACGGGAGCTATAGGAGGATAGTTGGAAATAAACCTTTTGGCCATAATGACTAAACAGGAGAAGCCACCGCTACTGCAAAAGAACGTGCAGTGGGGATAAACCTTGCAGTGATTTATTCCTTATTGGAAAGGTCAGGGCCCAGGAAGGAGAGAGCAGGGCAGGAGCGGGGAAGTCTAAGGCAGACCATCCTAATCCCCTTTTAGGCAGAAAGCATTAGCACAGCCTTGGAGAGAATTTGTTGGACTCAGTGGGGTGTGTCGGGCAAGCAAAGTGCTCAGCAGAGCTGCTGCTCGCTGCACCGGCCGGTAGCACCCTGATCCTTTGCCATCTCATAAACAGAGGGAAAGGAAATGAGTTTAATCCAAGCTCAGTGTATATTGGAATCTAACTTAAGTAAAACAGCCTGAAAGCCCAAGAATAAATCAGCAACGAAAGAAATCTCTTTGTGCTGGTGTGCTGTCTGCTGAAGAGGAGCTGGAAAAACCCTTTTTGCCTCTCGCTGTGGATCTGTTTCTTGGTTTCCTCTCACACATGCAACCAAACCCTCACGTTCCAGCAGCTTCCCCAGAAACAGCAAAGCTGGGCCCCACGTGAAAAGGAGCACGTGGTAGACAGGGAAGAGCCCTTGATTGGGAAGATTGAAAGATACTTGGAAAGCTGGTTAAAGATTCAATTGCAGCATGAGATCGCTGTCTGCGGATGCTTCCTACAGCCACTCAGGTGGTGCTGGGAGGGTAACAAAGAGGAATTCTTCGGGAAGGCTCTAATTTTTTAAGTGTGGGGGTCTGAAGCAGTTTTAGTATTTGTCAAAGGCGTGAGACTTCCAGGGATTCAGTTTGGAATTCCATACCTGGGGTTTCAGTTGATAGTTTAAGAGGCAGACCCTGCTGGTACACTGCATTGTGCACCCCTTGCCTTGCTCTCTCGCTGTCCCTGTCCCTCCTCTGTATGTTTGATGCATATGGTCACTGTATAAAGACTTCACACTTCATTTTCTTTTACAGAGTGTGGACAGGTAACTGGTCATGCTTGTGCAGCTGGGTCTTTTTGTGCGGGTCCTCTGATGTCTGCAGTGGGGTTGGGCTGTCATTGGTTGAGGGTCTTTCTCAGCAGGGACATAAAATGCCATGATTTTACTTTCAGTGGAGCCTGTTTGCATGAAAATACTATCAACAGAAGATGCTATCTCTAAACTTGCTGCCTAATTTGGGTGCAACTGCCCAACAGGTTTAAAAGTTATTAAAAGGAGCCTAATTCTCTTTTCTCTCCCACATACAAACACAGGATAATCACGTAAGCCTTGTTTCCTTGGGAAACCAACTGAAAAAAAAAAGAGCACAGAAACATACTGTAAGATGTGAAAACAGACCAACAGCCCTTCCAGTTGGGGAACGTGAGAAAAGGCACTGCCAAAGTCCCCTGTGTTAGCGAGGTCAGCGCAAGTAGGCTGCAGCTCAGAAAGGGGAGCAGGCAAGCACCTTTCCAGGCTGCAAAAGCAGCATCTGAATGTGTGAAAGCTTTACTAGCTGCTCTCTTTGAGCTCGAATGAAGGCAAAATTGCTGTTAATTAATGCTTCACATAGCAGTAAAAATCAGAGTCTGCCATGGCAAAGAGAGGTTCACAAACGGCCAGTTCCGTGTGAAAGTAAACTGTGGGTAACAGCTAGTGTCATCCTTAGCAAGGGGCTGAGAAGCAGCTGCCTGAGCAGATGACCTGTGTGAGCTCCCTGTGCTTTGGTAGCTGCCTCTGGTCCTGTGTATGTCACCTGGGAAATTCCCATGGGACATGCCAGAGTAACTACGGCCCAGTGCCTTTGGACTGCTGGGAAAACAGCACTGGAAAAGGCCAGAGAAGGCCCACAGAGATGATCAAGGACTGGGAAGCCGGGTGAGGGAAGGCTGAGAGGGCTGGGCTTGTTCAGCCTGGAGAAGAAAAGGCTCAGGGGAGACCTTATCACCGTGTTCCAGTATTTAAAGGGTGGCTACAAAGAAGATGGAGACCACTTTTACAAGGAGTGGCATGAAGAAGATGGGGTGTGATGGGCACAAGTTACTTCTGGGGAGATTCCAACTGGACACAAGAGGAAAATTTTTGCCAATGAGAGCAATCAGCCACTGGAATAATCTCCCCAGGGAAGTGGTGAATTCCCCAACACTGGACACTGCTAAGATTTGGCTGGGCAGAGTGCTGGGACATGTAGTCTAGGTCATGCTTTGCCTAGAAAGGTTGGACCAGATGATCCTTGAGGTCCCTTCAATCTGGTTATTCTGTGATTCTGTGACACAGTGTAGTCAAAGAGGAGAAAACTCCCATCTACAGCTCAGCTCCAGTCACAGTACTCATGTTGCCTAGATAAAACGAATGAGACTGAGCACCAGACCAGATACCTCTGCTGTGATGCAGCATGGAGTGATGCTCCTGGGGAGAGCCCAAGGTGTGAGACTCCTCATGGAGAGCATGCCCATTGCTGTCTCATGGGTTTTGCTGTAAGGCATTGGATGTGCTGTATAACACATGCTGATTTTCAGCTGGGATGTGTTGACCTGGACAAATCATGCTAAAGCTTAAAAGCTTTGCCATCACACTCCTTAAATTCCACTTGCCATGTAATTAACCCTGCTGAGGAAGAAAGTGAACTGACTATCAGGTCCTGAGGTGAAGCTGCCTCGAAGGGAATCCTTCAGACACCCTGCTCTGGCCACTTTATTTTCCTTTCATCATTTATTTGGCTATCTCGGCGCTATGTGTGCACACACACACCCCACATCCTGTTTAAATGCACGCTGGATCTTCCTCAGAAAAGGATGATATAAACCACTATTCAAGATCAAAGCAAAGGACAGCTGAGATGAAAGCAAGGCAAAAGTGTTCCTCAAGTGTTTCATCTGTGCTGTAGCTTCACTGTAGGAGGGAGTGGGAGGATGTTCACCCGAGGTTGTGTGCAGTCCTGGGGTATGGCTCTCAAGGGGAATTTCAGGCTGAGCAGTGGAAGGTCAGCCAGGGTCAGATCTTTCTGTCCACTGGGATTTGATAAAAAGACACCTTTCCTACCGAAATGAGCTCTGAGGAGGCACAGTGGCTTGTAACAGAAGACATTGGGAGTAAGTGCTAAGAAGGGGGGAAACCTTTGTAAGAGCAATGTGGTGGGAGAAAGCTGGCCTGGTTATTTAGGCTAGGAATTAAACAAATGTTTATAACCTTGGAAAGAGCAAGACCTTGGGATGGCCTTAACATGGAATTAAGGAAACCAATCTAGTTTTCTAATGGAGCTTGGTACATTTATGACCAGGAATCTGTGAGCTGTGTTTGTGCAGAACCGGTGATCCAAAGCTGTTATGTCCAGCAGTGAGAATATTTTGCTCTTTGTGTTTCAGTAATACAAAGCTTTCCACCTTCAGCCATGTGAGGGATGGGAGGAAGTTATCAAGGCATCAGAAGCAGTGTGTAAGTGAGAAGAACTCTAAGATAATTCTTGCAAGGAAGACGGAAAGACCTGGCAAGATCTACAGAAGGGTAAATAAAGCACCGTGGACCTGCATACCCTGAGCTATTAATTTAACTGGCTCACAAATGTCAGTCATTTCCAGACTGACGGCTGGATGCAGCTGTGATGGTGGTGAGATGAAAAGTAAACCTGCATCAGACTGGACATTGCCAAGAGGAAAGGGGAGAGAGGCAACCTCCTCCTGAAGTCCTGGGAAAGTGGCAGGGCAGTGATGAAAACCAAAAGCAGAAGTGGTGGCCTAAAAGGATCATCAGAACTTCTTGGTGATTAATAACTCCTTGACCTGAACAGAATAAAAACTAGGTGGAAAATGGCAGACTCTGTCCTTGCCATGCCAGGGATAAAGGCCAGGAGGAACTGCAGATGCACCTCTCTGTGCTCTCCTGAAGAGACATGGTGCCTCTAAGGAGCCATATGGGTACCAGGCAGGTGAAGTTGGGTACAAGGTGGCTTTGGTGGCCACCTTGTATGTGGAGGAAATCTATGAAGGAGAGGTGGGTTGGAACCACATCCTTCTTGTCTCCTTCCTACCAGCTGCCCAAGGACAGCAGCACTGCCTGTCTCCCTCGAGGAGCTGTGCAGAGCCCGACACTCCAACAGTCAAACTGTGGTGCCTTAAATACACTCACAGAGGGTTTGAGATTAGACCCTGGAGGATGAAGTGAACAAATCTTGGCAAGTGAACTTGATTGCTTTTATGTGATATAATTACAGAGTGAACTGAAGGAAGGGAAGAGAGCAGCTGTACTTGGGTATGTGCTGGGATCTGAGTAAAGGAACTTGGTACTGTGCCTCCTAAAGAAATGGCACGTTCACATTTTCCAGCTAGGCTATAGCTGATTCTGTTAGAAGGTGATTGTGTTCTGTGAGAAGCCCACCAGAGGCACATGGAAAAGGACAATCTTTGTAGGAGAAATCCACCCCTCTTCAAGAGGAGCACCACCTAATGCCTCACCTCCACTAAGCTTTTGGTGGTGGGTAGAGCCCTTAACCCCACATGTTTGACTTAAAAACTACCTGCTGTTTTCACACTGACTGAAATTAAAGGCTTCTTAAGGGAAAACATGGATCAGCTACTATGAATCAACAGGGCTCCATGGAAGTAAATGGATTCCTGCTGTTTGACCACAGACGGATAATCCACCCTGTTCTGATTTGCACTGGCTTTGCCACGTATGTTTTCATTTGTGGTCCATCCAGCGTGGTTTATGTAACCTATTAGGATCCACCCCCTGATCTCCAAATAGCTTTCAAAAGCCAAAGGTGCTGTTTGTGTTTTGAGATTGATATCTTGCTGGCAGCGTGATGCAGGTTTCCGGCAGCAGGTATGAGGTTTAACTGCAGGAAATGAGCTTATTTTTAGACAAAGCATTCACTGGGGGGTTGTATAAATGGATATTTTGCTGGGTGTCCTGTTTCTTAGGTCATTAAGTATAAAATTTTAACTCTTGCTTTTAATAGAGAGTTTGGGGAAATAGGTACTGATCCAAACAAATCCATCCCCAGGTAAATACCAAAGGCTGGGAGGGATGCATGAAGTGGCAGTCGTGGAGACTGGCAAATGAAGATGTCCATGAGGTTTCCAAGCAGCAAATGAGTGTTGGGCTAAAGGGAGAAAACACTGGGTTTCTTTCAGTGTTAACCTGATCCTGTGCTTTGATTTTTCTGATGAAAAACTGATGGAAAATATTCTTATGGAGATTTTGTGTTCTGCAGAGGCTGAGAGCTTGAAAATCAAAACAAAATCATGGTGACAGAAAACCACCAATCAGCCCTAAGCAACTCTCCACTTGTCTCTAGAAATGTAAGCCTGGGGTTGATTTAAATATGTCTAGAAATGAGAAGCCGTGTGTTCAGCCTGCTCTCTTCTGCAGGATCAGGTATCCATCTTTTCCAGTTGGTTTAAGCTGTCCATCTCCTCCTGTCCCTGATATGATAAAGTCAGTGTTATTAGAATGCCAAACCTCCTCCCTGAGGTTCTTGGTGGGTTCTGGTTCCTGCTGCATGTCTGTGATGGGAAGGTCTGAGACCTCCCCAGCTCATTTCATGTGTTGCAGAGCTCATCTCTCCAGCCTGCCAAGGGGGAGAGGGACAGATTAACACTGAGAAAAGGCTTTTATGGGGCAGCAATGCAGCAAGAAGCAATGTGTAGTTTATATCAGTATTGGATGCATATTCCTGTGAGTGTGTAACTTGCTCCCAGCCTGGAAGCTGGTATCACCAGTGTGCAAAAAAGCTTCTTACTGCTGCTCCTTTCTGGGTGCTTTTGTGGAGGGGGAGGATAGAGAATTGGCAGCATGTTGGTAGAGATCTGGGAGAGGGGGGAATGAGGGTTTAAAGCTTGAATCCTATCAAGTTCATTCTACTGACAGCTCCAGGAAGGGGAAGAGACACACCCCCCCCCCCCCCTCTTCTGCACATCTATTCCAGCCTGCAACAGCCTAATAAAGAGGATAATGGATTGGTTTAACCTTTAAGGGAGGAGAGCGCAGCGCTGCATCGTCTGCTGTGTGCACACAGCCCCCGGCTCAGTGTGAGCGCATCCAGCACACGGACATCCACATTCCCTCCCCACGGTGCTCCCATCACATGCCTTGATCCATGTGAGAGTAGATCCAACACAGTGCAGGAGACATTCGCCTACGCAGATCTCATTAGTTGTCTCAAAGAGGGAAGGGAATGAACATGACTGGTGACGTCCCAGCCCTCCTCTCTGTCTCCTGTTCAGAGGGAAGGGGGGAGAAGGGGCAGAGACAAGGAAAGCTTTCGGGGGGATTAATGAGCATAACCAGGCTATAGTGATGAATTCTTCATCTGGCCTGAAGTGTAATTGTAGCACAGGGATTAGTGCTCTGGGGAGCTCTTTGGCTGTCGCTGATGGGTGATTTTTAGCTATTGATGCACACAGGGGGTAAAAGCAACAGCTGGTTGTGCTGTGCTTTGGGGTAGATCCAGTGAAATGAAGATTTCTGGAGTGGGCTTTGGGGCAGAAGCAGGAGGGGTTTATAACATCCTGGGTCTGGCTCACAGCTGACAACTGGTCCCAGTTCCCTGCTATTTCTGATGCTTTTGGTGGGGCCAGCTCTGCATCACTGTGTTCCACAGCTCTGGGTTTACAAGGGCTTGAAGGAGGGGGAAAGCACATCCTGCCCTCCTCCCTGCCCTGAGCATGTCCTTTATCACAGAAGGGGCTTGATGGGGGTTCCCCAGAGCATGTAGTGCAGTAGGATGGTTTCTTGTTGTGTGTCTGTGCCTTTCTTTGGTGTGCAGGCTCCAAGGGTCCCTCAGGTCTGGCTGCATCCAGGGCATTGTGGCTGCTCCAGCCCCAAAATCCCACCCCACCACGCAGTTCTGACCCATCATTTTGGCCCTGGGCTTAGCAGAGAGGACAGTTTTGCTGAAAGCTCTTGAAGCTGTAAGTATGCCCATGTGTTATTGAAGGGGTGTACATCAGACAGGAGTCCAGGCAACGGTGGACAGCAGCTCGGATGGAGACCCGGTGGGGATGAGGATGGAAGACAAAATTCATCTCTTACTAGTACTGAGTTATTATTCATACAGTAAAGAGGAGATGCTATCAGCATGAAAAGGCTTGCTCTTCATAATCTGTGCATATATACATCAGTGGAAAGGCAGGTGGAACATCAGTGGAATATCAGTTTGCAGTCAGGTACAATGCCTTCTCCTCCTCCAGCGGCAGCTCTTCAGTCTAGCACAGAAAGCTCTAAACTTACAGGAGTTTACAGGGATTCAGTGTGCATTTGCAGATCAGACCATTTCTCTGCTTTGCAACCTCACAGCTCCCGATTCTCCTCCCTAGCACAAAAGGACACTGGACTGAGCAAGTGCCCGTAGCAGAAAAGGAAAAGCTGGATGGGTTTTTCCTATTTAATCCACATTATAGCCAACCCATGGGAAATCCTGTTAAAAGATCAGTGAGGATTTTCTGAGTCAAGGGAAATGTTACATCTCAGTTAGGGAGTCCTTTGGATGAGCCAGGCTTCAAGACAGATCTGCTGCAAAAATCCCTGCACAAAAGGCAAGGGGGGGCACACACAGATCAAATTGTTGTCCCAATTCCTTCCTTCCTTAGTATTTTTCAAAGAGGAAAGGAAAAATATACTTTGGATGCACTGGAAATGTTGTGTACTTCTTGCAGTTGCTGATTTTGTGTTGTTTCCTTTGTGCCATGTTGCTAAAGGGGGAAGCACCTGCCATGGCAAAGGGACAAGAATTGGGTGCGACAGGAATGCTGCCAGCTCCATGCAATCCCAGGGCTGGGACTTTGTGTGCTGAAATCTGAGAGATAACAAATGAAGGTGAAACATCTGAGAAGCCTTAAAAGCAATGGATGAAGCAGGACAGAGGTAATAAGAAGGTGAATCCCAGTCTGTAGAACTGAAATACACTCTCAGCCATGCAGGTGGGGTTGAGGCAGCTTTCCCTACCAAGCAGCAACTAGTCCCATGGGTCTGGTGGGTGTCTTGCCCCAGTGCTTCAGGCAGTTGCTTGGTGTGTAGTGTCCTCTATCTCTTGGGATTCAGAACAAAATGTAGGGAGGATCATGCCCTAAATGGTCAGTGTTGGTCTGCAAGTGTCAGCCTGTTGACAAGGCAGACAGATCAAGATAGGGTGGGGGATGCTAGTACCCCTGAGGCTTTCTCCTTTCTGCTGTTAGAGTAAGATAGCCTCTTTGATAGATATCAAAGAGCCATGCTGTCAAAAGAATAGGGAAAAAAGCAGAGGGAATAGGAGGTCCCAGGATGCACAGTGTGGGCTGATGGGTTATGTACCACGGACCCACCACTGCTGGTCTGTACTTTTCCACAGACTCCTGCTGCTGGGCAGGGTTCAGCTGGACCCTTGGTCCAGCTCCTTGCTTAGATGGAGAAGCTTGTCTGAGCTTCCAGGGAGGAAACTGAGACCTGCACGGTCTCCTCCAGCCTTGTGGTTCAGATGCAGCTGGGGCTCAGTGGGGAGCCTGAGTCCATCCTCTTCCGAGCCTGTTGGCAGCTACTTATGGAGAAGAAGCCTTTTCCAGCCTTGTGCTGGAGCCCACACGTGCTCCCTCAGCCTGGCCTTGGCCTTGAAGGTGCTGCTGGATGCTGAGGCAGCAGGGAACATGCAGAAACACCAATTTATAGCCAGTTTGTGCTGGCTGCTTTAAGCCCCTTTTACTCCTTTCATTAGCAGTGGGCAGGTCAGGGAAAGAGCTGTCTGAGCTTCTCAGTGCACCTGCCTGTACAGCCATGCTCCACACCTCATGTTCCCATGCACAGGCACTGCCCTTGCGACCTGCCTGGCTCCAGGTCTGTTCCATTAGAGCTGCAAATGCTTTCAGGAGAAGAGCAGAAGGATTTCGAAGTGACTTTAATATGGGAGGCTGGAGTATTTCTTCCTCCTCTTCTTTCCCTCTTATTCTTTATTTCTTGGTGCTAACAGTTTTAATTCCTCAGTAGCTACTTCCACTGTCTCTTCTTTTCCAAGGCTGTGCATGGGATGGGATGGGATGATTTATGTGCACAGTAGAGATAGTGGTTGAGCAATGGGAACTGGAGGACACAAGTAGAGAGGACTGTGCTGTCCCCAGCTGCTGAGGATGGCTCCTGCCACATCCCCAGCCCTGTCCCTGATCACACAATGAGGGATTCCCCCATATCCAAGACGTCACATTTGCCAGGTTATCACACAGACCATTGCTATCAGATAGGAACCAGAATGTTTTTGCCAGTCATCCAGGGAACATCCCTTGCTTTGCATGCAGAGCCCAATAAAGCTAAAATTAGCAGTGTTTCCCTCTACAAGGGAAAGTAATTTGTTCAGGAGAGGGCCTAAGGAGAAGCATGAAGAGAAAGGGAGCTCCCCTTATAAAATATTTACCACCTTAGCCAATGCCTCCTGAGCAATTTTGGAGAATGGTGTAATTAGGCTCCTGTTTCCTGCATCTCCTGCCCTCCCTTTCACTCATTCTTTATTAATAAGGCCTTTGCATGACATAATGGGATGTTTGTTTCCTGGGGGGCTCTTTATCCCTTTGTTCTTGCACAAGAAGGGAAAATACCATTACATCTAACAGAAGGGAGTTTTAAAACATGTGTATAAAAGTAGTTTTAGGGGGTTTTGTACGTGTGTGTGCATATATATGCTTGTATACATACACACACACATTCCTTGAACACAAGCAGGCCTTTCTCTTGTGGACCTCCAGTTCCCTGTAAGTTCTTTTCCTGATACTCACCCTAGACATGCCTCACTCTTTTTAACTAAAGGAATATCTTTCTGGTGACACCAGGAATAGAGGATCAGTTTCAAAATGAAACATGTGGGGGCTGAAAAGCATCCAGCGACATCTCATTTGACTTGGACTCATTCTAAGGTCAGAATCAAGTAATTGTTTTATAAAACTCAAATTTGCTAGAAGGGCTTAATGCATTTTTTAGAAGGGCTGAGTAATAAAGTAATTGTCGATTTATTGCTGCTCTTAACACCAGGAGAAAGATACATCGTTCCACTTGGGACCACTTAAGCATATAGTGTTTTAAAGGATAGAGCTTAATTCATAATTACAGAAGTGTTTATGCACCTCCCTTCTTCTTTGTTTCGTGTGTACTTTGATGAAGAGCTGGAAGTTTGGCTTTGCAATGCCTTACCCATGGTCTTTAGGGACAGAAATCTGGCTTGGCTTTCCCTGGTTGCCCAGAGCCTTTGTGGCAACCCGGATAAATGACCTTTTCCCATCACAGCCCCTTGGTGCTTGAGTTCATGTTTTTCTCTCCAGTATAAAGGGAAGCAAAAGACTGCTCTGAATTTCTTCATATAGTGAGCAAGCAGCTGAAATAATATTGCCTCACAAGCCATTATGTATTTTTTATTACTCAGATAGTAAAATATTGAAATGACTTCCGACAGAAAGAGAAGAGCAAGGGAGAACACCCAGGAGAAACGGGTTTATCTCAGAGGCTTTAATTGAATGCTGTAAAGCACTTTTATGGTGAAAAGAAAAGATACTTTGCTCTTATGATCACCTGTACTGTAAAGGAATGCCTCCTGCAAAAAGCTGTCCCACTCCCGTGTTTACCTGCCATCAGAGGAAGGTGGTGGTGAACCCAGCACCCTCATAGCAAACCTGAGCTGAACTGGAGTCCCATGCACACCATAGGATGTGCCAGGGATGAGGGACAGAAGCAGCTCCTGCTGTGCCCAGGATGGTCCCCTCCTCTGCTCCATTGCCTAGACAAGACCTCTAAGAACGTTGTTCACTTGGATTGATTTCTGTAACCTTCATCCCCATGAGTGGGATTTGCTGTCTGCCAACAGTTCATTGCATGATTTGATTTCCTGGACAATTCTAGAGATACTGTAATTTAGCAAATGATTCTTGCAAAAGAGCCACTTTAGCCCTCCTTTTATTCCCTCTAAGTGGCTTTGCCCATGGCTGGAAAGCAAATCTCATTTTGAAGTTCAGACTACTTGGTCCTTCTTTGCAGCCCCTCGTGTGTGCTTGTGCCTGCAGAGGAGATCTTGGTGCCACCCAAAGGGTGTGAGCTCAGGGAAGAACCTGGAGCAAGAAGGTCCCATTTCCTGATGCTGCATCTTGGAGGGTGTGGGATGGGAAGAGCTTTGCTGGATAAGGGAGAAAACAGCAATGTCCTCAGAAACTTTGAGGTCTTTGTGTCACATATGTCTGCCAGAGGAAGAGGTTCCCTCCTCCAGCTCTTGGTGAGGATGCAGGGTATCGTGGTATGGGTTTGTGAATACCCAAAAGCAAATACAGTCTGAGAAGCAAAGACATGCTCTGCATCAGGAGGATTCATCCACCAAGATGGAGCAAGGCAAACACACACACAAGCCCCCTTGTTTTGAGGAGCTGGATGGGAGTGTGTTGGGTTTGAGGATGATGATGGCTGGTCCCATCTCCTCTCCCTGTCTTACGAGCAGCAGTTTGGGGCTGCAACTTTTCCATGCTAGCCCAGAACTAACTGGGACCCTGAGGAGACACCCTAATGGGTGTCCCTTGCCCACTGCCTGTCCCTGGGAGCTGTGCTGAGCTCTGCTTTGCTCCAGGG